AAGGCCCAGTAAGTACCCTGCAAAGGCCCAGTAAGTACCCTGCAAAGACCCAGTAAGTACCCTGCAAAGCCCAAGTAAGTACCCTGCAAAGCCCAAGTAAGTACCCTGCAAAGTCTCTGTAAGTACCCTGCAAAGGCCCAGTAAGTACCCTGCAAAGCCCAAGTAAGTACCCTGCAAAGTCTCAGTAAGTATGCTGCAAAGTCTCAGTAAGTACCCTGCAAAGGCCCAGTAAGTACCCTGCAAAGGCCCAGTACATACCCTGTACATTCTTGCTAAGTAACTTGTAAGTACTTTATACATACCCTACAAGTTTTTGGTACATATCCCGTTAATGCCCAGAACACAAGTGCTCAGTTTGTACACCCTAATAGCCCGGTACTTACCTTATTAGTGCCAGTATGTATCTGTATGCATATATTACTTAGTATTTGTACAGTTGTACTGCTTGAACATAATTAAGAACCAGTCAGTTGTAGTTTCTTGGACAAGCTCTGTTTAAACTAAAGTGAATTACTATAGTTTGTTATAAAATGCTAAACTTACAGTGAAGAATAATAAAATATAGATTTACAGCAGCCGTGTTCAGAGCAGCAGTTTAATCTGAACCTGACCGACTGCAACACTTGGTGACAAACTGACAACATCCATGAGAGAGGCTCTAAAATATGTTGAAATGTCTGCCGAGGCTTTTGATTTCCTCACGCGAGTCGTCGGGTGCTGCTCCGATGTTGCACGAATTTAAACACTTTTGAAAATGTGCAAAACAGATTATATTTAAAAACAACGAGAATCAAAAACAATGCTGATCATTTGCAGGAATGTCAGTTTATTTGCAGATGTACACGTCAATGTTAAGAATCAATTAGTTGTGATTGTAAGTGAAAGAATGTTTATGTTATAAAACGTTTGTGTCTCCAACATGAAACAAGTTAAATCTAGTCAAACGTGTTGGACAGAAACTATTTATCAAAACTTAATCTGTAAAATGTGAATTATTCATAAATTTCCCCAGATTCAAATTTTAAAACATCATTATCACTTTAAGTTGGTTTCTGGTGTCAGAAGCAGCTAGCTCAATTCTTTTATAATTGACTTTTTTTATGAGATTGCCGTCTTCTGCAGGTAAGATACTCACTCCTCATTAGCACTTCAAACCCCACAAACTCTGCCTGTAAAACTGTTTGTTCAACATCAGAGACCAAACGTTTCCATATGTGACGTTACAGATTAGAAAAGTGGAGCTAAACGAGAACTGACGTAATGAATCGTATTTATTATTTCCTGTTTGGTGCTGACTGTTAAACGGACGCAGACGGAGCGGACCGATGCGCACCTGTTGAGGAGGAAGGTGTTGTCTGAGCAGGTCAGGGCCTCCAGCAGGATCTTCTTCTCTGAAACAGCGGTGGTGGAGTGAAACTTCATCCAGATGAACTCCCACACGTCCTCGTCCATCAGGCTGACCCCAGTGCAGTAAACGATGTCACGGATGTTTGGAGGAATCCTGCGGGGACAAGGACACAGAGTCAAGCAGAGTGGACCGACTCGTCTCTGACGCAGGGAGGAGGCGAAGAGTTCGACACGTTGAAGCTGATCAGTGTCTGAAACATTATGAAACGAAAAGCTCCGATAAGACACGTCCTCGGGATTAACCGGGACTCTCAGGATGGGGATTCTGCTGCCATTAAAAACCTTTCCTGCCTCCGCTGCAGAAACACTTACAGACACGTTCTGCTGCAGAGACGTTCCACCTGCATGAGAACCTGCATAGTTCATGAGAACGTTTCAATCAGGGAAGGAAAAAGAACCTCGTCCGTCATTTAGTTCCAGGTTTCATCTTTTAGACGAAACACCAAACATCCATGGAACACACACCACCTGCAGTTTTACATTTGATGGCATCTGTGTGTGTGTGTCTGTGTGTGTCTGTGTCTGTGTGTGTCTCTCTGTGTGTGTCTGTGTGTATGTGTCTGTTTGTGTGTCTGTGTGTGTCTGTGTCTCTGTGTGTGTGTCTGTGTGTGTCTCTGTGTGTGTGTGTGTGTGTGTCTCTCTGTGTGTGTCTGTGTCTCTGTGTGTGTGTCTCTGTGTGTCTCTGTGTGTGTGTGTGTGTGTGTGTCTCTCTGTGTGTGTCTGTGTGTGTGTCTCTGTGTGTGTGT